TAAATATGAAGCATCAGATGAAATCTGGTATGACCCTAAATATTCCTGGTATTGATCTGGCTACTTTAAAACTAAAGAAGAAACAGGAGTAGGGGAACCTCAACCTTTCCTCTCAATGGAAAAGAATCCAATATGAGTAAAGGAGTTTCTTGCCTAGATTCAGAAAGCAATACCAGAAAAATTCACCTTCTTATGAAAAAACAAAAGCGGTATAATTAATGTAAATCCAATTAATCTCACTTTAGTTCAATATGAGATTACTTTAAGTAAATTGAGAAAGATAGATGTGGACTATACTAGCAGGATTTATGGAGATAAGAACGATTCTTATCGCTAATATTTACAAAAGTTAGCTTGCAGACAAGTAGTAGATCGTCATGAATCAGTAGATAGATACAGTGTAATAAATGACCTACCTTGCAATTATTCGAAGGGATCCCAGAAAAACCAGGTAAAGATAAAAGAAAAAATGGATTAACCCTGATAATAATTTGTATATGTCTGTCTGATCAGACAGAGACATTTAAGATCTTTGATGAAACTAATCACATACTGTATATGGATTAGAGGATTGAGAGGACTGATTTATCAGTCTGATATCATTTATTAATTTTCCCAAAGGTGCTTTGCTATTTTTTTGCTCAAGGAAAGATATAAATATATAAAATATTATGAAAATGACAACTGATCAAAAGCATTTATCTGATAGTATAGCTAGCGAGATGGAAGTTATCAAATATACAAAGATATTAATCCAGGCATTTAAACTAAATAAGCAAAATGCAGAAGTATATAGTGCACTTTTTAGTGAAAATAGGATGCTAAAGAAACAATTAGAAGATTATCATTCCCAATATAACACTTTAGAAAAGAGAATAAAAAGACTGGAAAGAGATGTAGAATCCTTAAAAATTGAATTAGAGGATCTGGACTAATGTGTGGATAAGAAAACTGTGGTCAACTTAATTCATAAAATAATTTTCTCACTAATTGGTAATGATCATCAGCTTGGAAGAATTTGCTGAGTTATACACAGCACCTTTGGTGAATTTTGCTAGATCCATCACCAATATGCGTAATTTTATTTTTTATTTAAAGATACAGCATATACCAGAACTATTAGAACAGATTTTACATTTTTTAGCGATAGATAAATCTCTTTACTCACTCTATTTGTTTGTCAATTATGGTACAGATGTGATGTCCTTATTTTATGGAAATGTATTGAACTAAATGGTGATGAGGATGATGATTGATCTCAACTGAAAAGATTTATAAAATTAGTACATGGTGTGGTATACTACTCATAGGGAGGACGAAAACTAATTTATAACTCAAAATTAACTCATTTTAAAATATCGCATTACTAACTTTCTAATAAAAAAATCAAAGGCATTGTGTGCATATTTCCAAATGTAATTCATTTAGACTTTGAAAAAAGTACAGATTCTACTGATAAAGCTCTAAAGTTAATAGTAAAATCATATCCAAATTTGGTGTATCTCAATATATCTGCTTTATGTGAAAGATATAAATCAGAAAATGATATAGGTTTATCTGCAATTACAAATTCATGCTATAATTTAGAATATCTAAATATTTCCTATTGCATAGAGTTTTCTGAAAAATCAATTTGTAATATTATCCATTCTTGTCCAAAGCTCTAACATTTCAACCTTAGTTTTTGTAAAATTACCAATATAACTATCAAAAAAATTGCTAGTTTGTGTCTTAATTTAAAATACCTTAATCTGGAAAGGTACTATCAACTCATTTCACTTAATTCAAATATTCATATCAAGAATTTTGTAAACACTTTATCACCCTCTAATCTCATTGAAGTGGTTATAAATCATCTTATACAGAATAACGTTACTAGTAGACAGACTTTAGCTCAGGATCTTTAGAGTCTTATAGAATTAAGTATGCGGTATTCTAATCCAGGGTTAGCTAGATCAATAGTTCAGAATGATAAGTCATTAATTCAAAAGATTTTTTGCTGAGTCACAGATTATGCGACAAAAAAATAAGTAGATCATCAATCAGGTCTGTGTGAGCAAGTAGGCTAAAATCAAAAAAAAATATCAAAAAATAATATATATCACTGGCTATGTCCCAAACTATATATTTATTTTTCGCATATATAGTATTAATAAAAAAATTTCAGCAGGTCTGTTGCCTAAAAACATGTAATATATTTTTATTTTGAATAGCTATATATAGTGTATTAGTTATAATATATAGATCATATTATCCGAGCTTGAATCATTGAAACAGCGTATCAGTGAACTTGAGGCTAAAAGAGCTGAACTTAAGTTCAGGAATGCCAAATATGTCAAGCTTAAAGCTGAGTTTATAAATTCTATCAAAAAAGATTATGCTGATTTTAAGGCCCATATAGTAAAATTAAAACATCTTAGTTTGGAACAGCCAAATTGTCTTGAAAGTATTGAGGCTATAATTATTGAGATTAAGACTCAGAATGCAAAAAATAGAAGAATATGAAAAGGGACTAGAATGCAAGAAAAATCGCAAATTCCAGACTAGATGCATCCAGATAGCTAAAGAAATTCTTAATGAGGAACCTATGATCAAATATCGCCTCTCTTTCATACAAGAATTAGAGCTTGATGCATTCTTTCAAAAATACTGAATTGCATTGGAGTTGCAAGAGGCTTCATAGCACTAGCTAATATAAGGATATTAAAAAATTCGAAGACATTGTTAATCATGATCGGCAAAAATGGTGTATATATCAAGATAATGGAATTTCCCTTCTTGAAGTATGGTACGACGAAAAAACAGAAATCATTATTCCAGAAAGAATACGAAAAATTAAGGAGTTCATTGATCAAGTATCCAAAAGTTTTGATATCCTATAATCAATAGTCTTATAATACATGTAACTCTACGTTTAATTAGCAGATAAATATATTGTGTATCACAGTCAAGGTCCTGATTCTTAGACAGGCGAAATTCTGAGGCTAATCTAAACGTCTCATCTAAGCGATGTAAAAATAAATTTAAAAAAATATGTTCTTATCATTATGTCCCATTAGCACAAGCATAGAAACTTTATCATGTACAGCAGGTTAGTCTGTTTGCTTTAGCAAACTTCTTGCACTTGTATTTATTTCTTTATCGCTCACATGCATTAATAAAGTACCGTGAAGATTCTTTACACTTGTCACCTGATATGTAAAAACTACGAAATTCCAAGATTGATCACGATCATTCGACTGAAGAAAGATCGATGCAGGGTAGTTTTAAAATTGAGATCAGCAAATTAATCAACTATTAGAATTGCCATATTTGTTCTAGTGACTTTCATGTTTTGCAACGATCATAGCGATGAACTGCAGAAAAGTATTAATTATAAAAATGCTAGGTAAATCATATTTCATCCCGAAATGTGCAGTATGATATCAGGAAAATTCTTGCCGAAGTGTTGCAAAATGGAATAATAAAAAACTTATGATATATATCAATATCACAACCTGATTTGTATTTTATTTAAAATTGTAAGGAGTTAAGTCCTAATTTAGCCTATGCTATAAAACACGTTACTGATGTATATTCTTCTACAGTATATATTATGCACAGTAAGACGTCATTAAAATTATTATCCAGTAGATCCTATTTCTATTAGTTAGAAGTGTGAAAGAGTCTTCACGATTGTCACATGACACAGCATGTATTGCCAAAACTTAGAAAAAAAGCTAGAATAAAGGAATATTGTTTGAAGAAATAATCATGTAAAATAGTCTAAAGTCATAGAATAGCATCATATACCCAGGGCTAGTCCTACACCATGTAATTTATTTTAGCTTAATGTATTGCAAATAAAAAACATTTAGGGTATTAAGTGATCTGAGCAATGTAGTCAAATATTTACTTATGATGATTAGTACAATCCTTTAGACCATATATACTAATTACAAAGATCCAGGGACTTTTATTCTTCCTCCGATCAAACTTTCTTGCATATTCTCAAAATTATTATGTATATTATTGTAACAGGACCCCTTGATGATCTTTACATATGAATAGCATTAAATTCTTTTATTATTAAATTAAGGAGGTCAGATTTTCGTGATGCGACATATTAATGTAATTTTCCCTAAAGTGTATTCCAAGATTGATCCTGGAAATTATATAAAAAGGTGATGTCTCTGTTAGTGAATCCCTTTATCTGTCTTGTACAAGTAAAACAAAAATCTTAAATTTACCATTATCTGAATCATCGATATCAACAATCAAACGAACTCGTATATTCTGCAAAGTAATAATAAGGTAGGTTGGTTTATTGTTCGGCTAGCTTCTTAAGGCATGTTATCACGATGTTAATCTATTTTCCCTCTTCTTATCAGCATTCTAATCACAATAGACGCAGGGAAATTATTCACATGAATCAGTCGGAAATAATTAAAAAAAATATGATTTTTATTACATCATTCATGCAAAGGTTCTTCGGAGTTTAATAATGAGTACTTATGTAATACGAATGGATAATAACTATCATAAAATAAAAACGTATCATATGGACGGATTTGTGTAATACATGTCAGCTGAACATAGCTAATTATAGTCAAATGACACAAATCCAAGTGGCTTAGAAATTTGTAGAGGAAAAAAAAAGTATAACTTGGTTAATCTAAAAAATAATGTCGAGAAAAAGTATTTATAAATATTTTGAACGCGAAGTTGAAGTCTTAATATAATCATTAATAACAAGAAAAATCGCGGTGCAAGAAAACACAGAAGTTGCTCGACAAATATAGAGGAGTAAGTGAGATCAAAAATTCTGAGAACGAGTAGGATAGTGTTTGGACGCAGGTAACCTTCTGGGTTGTACTGACGTCTGGCAGTGTTAGAGCACAGGCGACCTTCTGGGTTTCCTGATGTTCAAGGCTTCTGACCGATCTGATACTGGCCCCGTTGAGACGCAAAGTAACCTTCCGGGTTGCTCTGTGTTCAAGGCTTCTGGCTAAGCTCGGCGGATGGGATGTTTTAATATTCATTGTAATCAAAAATTTCAAGATAATTTTATTAATAATTCTAAACTTGTAAGTCTGAAGGTTCTGATAATTGACCCAATCGCGAACTTGCAAGAAAATGGGAAAAATAATAGGACTATCAACAGTGGGACTATCAATGGTGAGACTGTCAACGATGGGATTATTGTTGCTGGAACTAGGCGCAATCAGGTACAGATGCATATCTTTTTTATCATCTAGAAGTTGAAAACTAGTAAAACCAATTATTCTTTGTATTCTATTAATTTAGGATGACCATATTAAGCGAAATCTGCCTATAAAACGAGCAAAAATTGATAAATACTTTCGTCCTGTGTGCGAAACTCAACAAAGACAGCGGAAAAATAATGAGGAATCGGTTGACCAGCCAGATGGATATACCACGCTATCGCCACAGAGCCTAACATTAAAAAGTTCAACAATAGATCTTCCAATACTTGATCCTGTTAACAATCCGTTCTTAGAGGAAGATAGTGTCATCATATCAATTGATGACATCCTGAGTGAACTTTCTTTTGAACACAGAGATTCAATTAATGATTTCTTTTTACAAGAAGCTAATTTATCTTGGTTATTCTGTAATTATCAAAACAAGTCATTAGAGATTGTAAGGACTAATGGCTTGTTTGTAGAGTCCAATGTACATGAAATTTTATCTCTATTCTCAATCTTGATGCTGACTCAGGATTCACATTCAAATATCATGATTAATCTTTTTGGAACACCTTTACTCGACAAAATCCATGAAGAATTTATGCTGAAATAACAAATTGAATTAGACCTTAATTGCGAATCAACATTAGGAAAGCCATTAAGATGGCAATGAAAAATTCACATAAGGATGCCACAAATTGGTTACTTGGACAACTTGCAAATGAAGAGATATTGAGAGAAGATGCGGGTTATACTATTTTGGATTGTTTAAGAACATTACCCATGTCAACTATAAGAAACAATCACAGTGAAATGACTCATATCATGAATTATCTCGACCGAATAATGAAAAGATTCTTTGATGATCTGAATTAACACATCGTTCAATGGCCAAATATAGCACTAGAGGAAAGTAAGGCCAGAAAATTTGAAGGCTGAATAAAACAATCCGATTTGATTAAAATTTTCTTTATCAGATCAGTTATTTATAATTATTATTTTATTTTTTATTTAAATGATATAGTATAATAAATAAATCATAGTTATTCATTTCATGTAGGTTGTATTATAATCAAAGTATTATTGTCGTAAAAGATATTTATTCATCATTTCATCCAAAATCAAAATATTTTTTAGTAAAAACTTATCATATTAAATTATTATTGGATAAAATTCTTTCAGGTAATTTTGTGAAGGATATTAAAGCTAAATTCAGAGGCAATATTTTTTTCTATGTGAAATTCTTATGTGTTTGATTTGTGAGATACTTTGACTTAGTAAGAATTATAATAAGATAATTTTTTTTAAAAAAAATTTCTGAATTTAGTTATTTTATTATAAAATTATTTTCCAGAAAAATATCATTCTCTTCTTATTAGAAAATGCTCCAGTTATTGTAAATAAGTTAAAAAATAAAATTAAACAACTTGGTTCTTCTTTTAGAAATAAGTGAGAGCTAACAGATTAAAGTTCAAGTTAGTATATCATGTATTAAATAATAATTTTGTACTTGAATTTGAAAAATATAGGAATCGATAAGTAAATTTTCATGTTGATATAATTACAAAGGCACTTTTCAAGAAAATTAAATTCTTTGAAATAATTGTATAAAGATTTGAAAATTTTTTTAAATATATGTACAGTATATTCCTTGTTATTTTATAATGATGGAAATTTAAATCACTTATATTATCAATTTTTCTTAATAAAATTAGTTGATATAAAATTTAACATCATTTATATTGAAACACACTTTTCTTTTCTGGATTATGATATTCATGTGATTGCAAGTTAATAATGAAAAATATCTCAAATATTTTTTATTCATAATCTAAAATTTTATTTGCTTAAAGAATCAAATAAAGAGTCTTATTAAGTTGTATAACTGAAGATGCACTGCTTTGAAACATTTTAAATTCTACATTTTAGTGTAATTATTATAATTTATCTTATAATTTCAAGAGTTAAGTTTTTTAATATCCTTTGACAATTGTTAAGGTTGAACACTCAAGATCTTCAAAAAAACAATACTTACTTATATAATATTGGTATTAGTGAAATACTATAATATAAGCTGCTTGCATGCTACTATTTGTTTTACATTTTTTTTTGTTTTCTGAATAGTATATTAACGTTCATAACAATATGATAGAAAATCAGGTTAATGGGTCAAAGGTAATGTGCATTTCTCTTAGTGAAATAAGGCATCTTGTTCATCCTTATAATATTGCAAATAATGGTTTAAATTTTGAATCTATAAAAATTTAACTTATAAGTACACACATGATTTTTTTGATAGAAATAACCTATTACAATTCTTAAAATTAAAATTTGGTTATATTTTAGAAACCTTCCTTTATAAAATTATTAAATATAAAATTTTCCAATATCAGATGTAACCTGATAATCATTTGCAATATTATTAAAATGATGACAAGTTTATAAATCATTAAATTGTAACAGTAAAAATATGTTCCGTCAATTTTATGCTAAAAGTATGATAATGTAAAAACTTTTACAGCTAACGGTCTTAAAACCTTATCATGAAGTTTTTTATTATTTTAAGAATTATTGATAAATCCTGTAATTCGAGTTTAAATTGTTCATCATAAGTAATAAAAATAAAATATATATATATATATATATAAATTTTATTTGAACCTTTTTAAA